ACCCAGAAGAAAAAAAAAAAAAAAAAAAATTAAAGGCAACATGAAACCACTCCACACTCCCAATGAGAAAATAAAAATGGATGTTGCAGGCTCATGTGTTCTATACGTTTCCAAATATTTCCATCTGCTCCTGAAATTTCCATTAGGAGTTGCCAAAAAGTCTTACAGAATTGTTAACACGATGGTAAATTTAGATTCTTTTTATGGAGAGACGTTTCCCCACCCTCTTAAAAGTCTGGTATCAATTTGTTCTGTCACTGATAAGCCAAAGGTATTGCTGAATTTGCCCTTTTGCCCCGCTCGGGGGTCTAGCGCAGGCTGGGATGGGGAGGGGGGCAGAGAGGCAGCATCCGTGGGGGGAGTGGGTCCGGGTTCACCCCCCGACCTGTCCCCCTCCACCCTCCCGCTGCCACCACCAACAACAGAAATAACTGGCAAGAAAATTACCGGCTGTCTGGTTCCCTGGTCAGCCCATCGACCTGTTCTTCGCTTTGGAAGCTCCCCCCAGTGAAGGTTGGAGGCTGTTGGTGTGTCCTGCCTGTCCCACCACCCAGGGTCCCACCCCCTGATTAAAATCCCTGTGCTAATGAGCAGGTTCCTGTGCCCAGAACAGCTCGGGGCAGCTCTGCCTTTAGCTGGAGAGGGTTGTGCTGAACATGTCCCCGTGCCCTCCATCAACGCACCCACAAACACAGGAGCTGGCTCTATGGCTTCGCAGAGGAGGAGGGGAGGGGAGGAGGAGGGGAGGAAGGGGGAGAAAGAGATGGAGGAGGAGATAAGGGGAAGTCTCTCATTATTCATCCTTTTGGTGGCTTTTTACCCTCCCATCCACAGAATTCATAACCCGCGCGCCCCGCGGCTGGATGAATCCAGAATGATGGATCTCGATTAGATTAATAATCTGGATTAGATTATTAATCTGTATCAGATTATTAATCTATATCGGATTATTAATCTGTGTTAGATTACTAATCTGGATCAGATGATGAATTTGGATTAACGATTACAATTATGGATTATTATGACTCCACAATTCCTAATCCACACGCTCATCCTGACGCATCCAGAGGCTCAAGGATGAGACCCCAACAGCCCCGTGGACACCCCCAGCCCCAATCCCACCACCCGTCCCCGCAGCAGTGACAGGTGGTGGTGAGAGCCTGGCCCGGGTTGCCTCGAGAAGCTGTGGCTGCCCCATCCCTGGAGGGGTTCAAGGCCAAGTTGGAGGGGGCTTGGAGCAACCTGGTCTCATTGAAGATGTCCCTTCCTCTAGAAGGGATGGAACTGGATGGTCTTGAAGGACCCTTCCAACCCCAAACGTTCTGGGATGCTCTGGCGATTCCACCACTTCCCTGGGATGGAGGGGACCTCTATGGTCGTCAAGACCAACCATCAACCCACCACTGACCAACCCACCACTGACCCGTGTCCCTCAGCACCGGCTTTTGGATCCCTCCAGGGATGGTGTTTGGGGAGTGGAGCCATAGGACGAGGGGGAACAGTTTTAAACCAAAACTGAGGAGATTGAGCTGAGATGTGGGGCAGAAGTTCTTTGGTGTGAGGGTGGTGAGAGCCTGGCCCAGGTTGCCCAGAGAAGCTGTGGCTGCCCCATCCCTGGAGGGGTTCAAGGGCAGGTTGGAGGGGGCTTGGAGCAACCTGGGCTGGTGGGAGGTGGCCCTGCCCAGGGCAGGGGGGCTGGAATTAGATGATCTTTAAGGTCCCTTCCAACCCAAACCAGCCTGTGATTGTGTGATCTACACTAGCTAGACCACTATTTCCAGACACTTTATTCTGCACTGACCACCCCATGTCACTGGTTCTTGCTGGATCTTGGGTTTCCCCCTGTGAGGAACATGGCCTCAAACTGCACCAGGGGAGGTTCAGGCTGGATATTAGGAAAAAATTCTTCACCCAAAGGGTTATCCAGCATTGGAATGCACTGCCCAGGGAGGTGGTTGAGGCACCATCCCTGGAGGTGTTAAAAAGACTGGTTGACATGGTCCTCAGGAATATGGTTTAGTGGTGTTGTGGTTTTTTTTTTTATTTCTTTTTCTTGTCAGAGTTAGGTTGATGGTTGGAGTAGACGATCTTTAAGGTCCCTTCCAACCTAGATGAGTTCTATGAGAGTGACCCTCCTGCTGCGAACAGACGGGGCATCACCTCAAACTCCTCCATCCTCATCCCATCTGGGGACTCCAGGGTCCCTCCTATGACGGCGACGGGGACAGGATTCCCCAACCCTCCGAGCTGGCTGCTCTGTCTCCAGCTGTGGAGCACATCTGCCTCTGGATGCAGGGCCTGAACCCGCTGTAATTGCAGAGGGAGGTGCCCATAACCCAGTGGAGGTATCCCAGCTCAGGTTCTGCAGCTTTGGGGACCCGGGAGGAACTCCCCGTTTCCCTCTTTCCTTTTCACACCATCATTCCCAGTGGCTCACGATGGGGGTGTCCATTCCACTTACATTAAATTTCCTAGTGATACAGGAACCAGGTGCTGCTGCTGCTGCTGCTGTTGCTGCTGCTGCTGCTGCTGCTGCTGCTGTTGTTGCTGTTGCTGCTGCTGCTGCTGTTGCTGCTGCTGTTGCTGCTGTTGTTGCTGCTGCTGCTGCTGTTGCTGCTGCTGCTGCTGCCAGGCGGAGATGTTGCCAAGGGACAGCCCACCAGGTGAGCTGAACGCCGGCAGCGAAGACAACTCAGCACTCGTCAGCTGATAATCTGGGGAGGGAAAGAGCCCTTCGGTCATTTCAATGTCAAACCCGCTCCACCAGAGCCGTGGGGCGCTGGGAGAAGAGGGGGATCTGCTCAAGAGACACAAAACAGCCCCAACTCTCACAGTTTCAGCCATCGCTAGTGAGATGCAAGGAGAACATCTGTCCTTCACCCAGCCCAAAACACAACGGCTGGTGGTAGGACACATCCCTAAGAGTCATAGACTGGGTTGGGTTGGAAAGGACCTTTGAAGGTCATCTAGTGCAGCCCTCCCCTACCATGGATCTCCAACTTGATCAGGTTGCTCAGAGTCCTGTCCAACCTCACCTGGAGTGTTCTGAGGGATGGGGCATCTCCTTCCTCTCTGGGCAACCTGGGCCAGTGTCTCACCACAGATTTCTCCCTTAGATCCAGTTTTTTTCTAGCTTCAAGGCACAAGCCCCCACCTCCACACCATCCAACACCCACTGATGACCACTGTCCCCACCCCGAAAAGCTCACAGACACTGCTTCCTCCAACCCCTGGGGTCAGGAAACCGCCGGCTGCTGAAACTCACCACTGCATGGTCCATCATTCCCACCTGTGTGTGGGCCATCATCTACGCAGTGGTCCGTCCCCTCCATCCCCACCCTAAGTGGTCCATCCCCCCCCACTGTGGCTGCCCCATCCCTGGAGGGGTTCAAGGCCAAGTTGGAGGGGGCTTGGAGCAACCTGGTCTCATTGAAGATGTCCCTTCCTCTAGAAGGGATGGAACTGGATGGTCTTGAAGGACCCTTCCAACCCCAAACGTTCTGGGATGCTCTGGCGATTCCACCACTTCCCTGGGATGGAGGGGACCTCTATGGTCGTCAAGACCAACCATCAACCCACCACTGACCAACCCACCACTGACCCGTGTCCCTCAGCACCGGCTTTTGGATCCCTCCAGGGATGGTGTTTGGGGAGTGGAGCCATAGGATGAGGGGGAACAGTTTTAAACCAAAACTGAGGAGATTGAGCTGAGATGTGGGGCAGAAGTTCTTTGGTGTGAGGGTGGTGAGAGCCTGGCCCAGGTTGCCCAGAGAAGCTGTGGCTGCCCCATCCCTGGAGGGGTTCAAGGGCAGGTTGGAGGGGGCTTGGAGCAACCTGGGCTGGTGGGAGGTGGCCCTGCCCAGGGCAGGGGGGCTGGAATTAGATGATCTTTAAGGTCCCTTCCAACCCAAACCAGCCTGTGATTGTGTGATCTACACTAGCTAGACCACTATTTCCAGACACTTTATTCTGCACTGACCACCCCATGTCACTGGTTCTTGCTGGATCTTGGGTTTCCCCCTGTGAGGAACATGGCCTCAAACTGCACCAGGGGAGGTTCAGGCTGGATATTAGGAAAAAATTCTTCACCCAAAGGGTTATCCAGCATTGGAATGCACTGCCCAGGGAGGTGGTTGAGGCACCATCCCTGGAGGTGTTAAAAAGACTGGTTGACATGGTCCTCAGGAATATGGTTTAGTGGTGTTGTGGTTTTTTTTTTTATTTCTTTTTCTTGTCAGAGTTAGGTTGATGGTTGGAGTAGACGATCTTTAAGGTCCCTTCCAACCTAGATGAGTTCTATGAGAGTGACCCTCCTGCTGCGAACAGACGGGGCATCACCTCAAACTCCTCCATCCTCATCCCATCTGGGGACTCCAGGGTCCCTCCTATGACGGCGACGGGGACAGGATTCCCCAACCCTCCGAGCTGGCTGCTCTGTCTCCAGCTGTGGAGCACATCTGCCTCTGGATGCAGGGCCTGAACCCGCTGTAATTGCAGAGGGAGGTGCCCATAACCCAGTGGAGGTGTCCCAGCTCAGGTTCTGCAGCTTTGGGGACCCGGGAGGAACTCCCCGTTTCCCTCTTTCCTTTTCACACCATCATTCCCAGTGGCTCACGATGGGGGTGTCCATTCCACTTACATTAAATTTCCTAGTGATACAGGAACCAGGTGCTGCTGCTGCTGCTGCTGTTGCTGCTGCTGCTGCTGCTGCTGCTGCTGTTGTTGCTGTTGCTGCTGCTGCTGCTGTTGCTGCTGCTGTTGCTGCTGTTGTTGCTGCTGCTGCTGCTGTTGCTGCTGCTGCTGCTGCCAGGCGGAGATGTTGCCAAGGGACAGCCCACCAGGTGAGCTGAACGCCGGCAGCGAAGACAACTCAGCACTCGTCAGCTGATAATCTGGGGAGGGAAAGAGCCCTTCGGTCATTTCAATGTCAAACCCGCTCCACCAGAGCCGTGGGGCGCTGGGAGAAGAGGGGGATCTGCTCAAGAGACACAAAACAGCCCCAACTCTCACAGTTTCAGCCATCGCTAGTGAGATGCAAGGAGAACATCTGTCCTTCACCCAGCCCAAAACACAACGGCTGGTGGTAGGACACATCCCTAAGAGTCATAGACTGGGTTGGGTTGGAAAGGACCTTTGAAGGTCATCTAGTGCAGCCCTCCCCTACCATGGATCTCCAACTTGATCAGGTTGCTCAGAGTCCTGTCCAACCTCACCTGGAGTGTTCTGAGGGATGGGGCATCTCCTTCCTCTCTGGGCAACCTGGGCCAGTGTCTCACCACAGATTTCTCCCTTAGATCCAGTTTTTTTCTAGCTTCAAGGCACAAGCCCCCACCTCCACACCATCCAACACCCACTGATGACCACTGTCCCCACCCCGAAAAGCTCACAGACACTGCTTCCTCCAACCCCTGGGGTCAGGAAACCGCCGGCTGCTGAAACTCACCACTGCATGGTCCATCATTCCCACCTGTGTGTGGGCCATCATCTACGCAGTGGTCCGTCCCCTCCATCCCCACCCTAAGTGGTCCATCCCCCCCCACCCCAGCATGGTCCATCCCCTCCATCCCCAGCCTCTGTGGTCTATCACCCCCACCTCAGCGTGGTCCATCACCCATGGTGTGGTCCATCCCCTCCATCCCCAGCCTCCGTGGTCTATCACCCCCACCTCAGCGTGGTCCATCCCCTCCATCCCCAGCCTTCGTGGTCTATCACCCCCACCCCAGCGTGGTCCATCACCCACAGTGTGGTCCATCCCCTCCCTGAGTGGTCCATCACCCCCACCCCAGCGTGCTCCATCCCCACTCTGAGTGCTCCATCACCCCCACCTCGGTGTGGTCCATCCCCTCCATCCCCACCCTGGGGATTCCATCATCCTCACCTATATGTGGTCCATCCCCTCCATCCCCAGCCTAAGTAGCCCATCACCCCTACTCCTGCACGGTCCATCCCCACCCTGAGTGGTCCATCACCCCCACTCCTGCATGGTGCACCACCCACGGTGTGGTCCATCCCCACCCTGAGTGCTCCATCACCCTCATCCCTGCGTGGTCCATCATCCCCACCACTGCATGGTCCATCATTCCCACCCGTGTGTGGTCCATCATCCACACCGTGGTCCATCCCCTCCATCCCCACCCTGAGTAGTCCATCTTCCTCACCTATACATGGTCCATCACCCACGGTGGAGTCCATCCCCTCCATCCCCTCCCTGAGTGGTCCATCACCCCCACCTACACGTGGTCCATCCCCTCTATCCCCCCCACGACTCTGGGAGCATCCCAAAAATAGAACCATAGACTGGTTTGGGTGGGAAGGGACCTTAAAGATCATCTCGTCCACCCCCCGCCCTGCAGAATCCTTCCCGTTTGGATGTGGAGGAGAGGGAGATGCTCTCCCCACCCACGACTCTGGGAGCATCCCAAAAATAGAACCATAGACTGGTTTGGGTGGGAAGGGACCTTAAAGATCATCTCGTCCACCCCCCGCCCTGCAGAGACACCTCCCACCATCCCAGGTTGCTCCAAGCCCCCTCCAACCTGCCCTTGAACCCCTCCAGGGATGGGGCAGCCACAGCTTCTCTGGGCAACCTGGGCCAGGCTCTCACCACCCTCACACCAAAGAACTTCTGCCCCACATCTCAGCTCCATCTCCTATTTTTTGGTTTAAAACTCTTCCCCCTCCTCCTATGGCTCCACTTCCCAAACACCATCCCTGGAGCCGGTGCTGAGGGACACGGGTCAGTGGTGGGTTGGTCAGTGGTGGGTTGATGGTTGGTCTTGATGAACTTGGAGGTCCCCTCCAACCCAGGGAAGTGGTGGAATCGCCAGAGCATCACAGAACGTTTGGGGTTGGAAGGGACCTTCAAGACCATCCAGTTCCATCCCTTCTAGAGGAAGGGACATCTTCAATGAGACCAGGTTGCTCCAAGCCCCCTCCAACCTGCCCTTGAACCCCTCCAGGGATGGGGCAGCCACAGCTTCTCTGGCCAACCTGGGCCGGGCTCTCACCACTCTCAAAATGAAGAAGTTCTTCCCAAAATCTAACCTAAATCCCCCCTCTTTCAGCTTCAAGCCCTTCCCCCTCATCCCATCGCTCCCCTCCCTCATCAAGACTCCCCCCCCAGCTTTCCTGTGGGATGCTCCCAGCCGAGCATCCCCAAAAACCAGGGGGGGAAATCACACAGCTCCCGTGGTGACACAGCCCAGGGGGGAGGTGAATGCTCCTCCAGGAGCTGGTCAAACCCTTGCTCAGCTGTTTCCCCAGCGCCGCGCCTGCATCTGATGCAGCCACCCACGGACCCCGAGCGTTTTCTCGAAACACTCACCCTCCCTCCCCGCGTCCCCTCCCTCCTCCCCCTTCTCTCATTTTCGGGTGTCTTGTGGTTTCAGCCCTTCCCCACCCCAGCGGGGCCCAGCAGCAGCAGCAGCAACACAAAAGAGGTGGCTGCGAAGGCGCTGAACCGCTGCCAAAGCCACCGGGCTGATGGGAGGCACACCCTGCGGAGAGTCCCAGGACCGGGGTTCTTTGCTCTACCCAGGTTGGGTTTGGTTTTATTTTACCCCCCCTCAAACCCCCCCAGCACCAGCCATTCTGGTTTCAGAGCTCCTGACACCCCCCGGGTACCACCTCCACGGGTAACACCAAGAGCTTGAACCGGAGTCACCCCATCCCTCGGAGCTGTGAAGGCTCAGATTTTGGGTTCCACCAGGCTGCAGAGCAGGAGGGGGAAAGGGCACCCAACCCTGGCCAGTGGGATGCTCGGGGCAACCTCAGGGGACCCAAAACCGAGACAATTCCCACCCAATTCATAGCTCGTTTCCCCAGAGAGAAACCACCAGGTTGGGGCTTCACATCTGCACCCAAGAGCCTTCTCCACCAGCTGCATCTCTCCCAAACGCCCCCGTCACCGAAGGCGCCCAAACGGGGACGCCCCTGGGTCTGTGGTCACCGGGGAGAGAGGAAAATAAACACCAAAAGCCAAAATTCAGCCCTGCCCCCCCCGGCCCTGCCCTCAGCAGTAGCTGCGCAGGGCTCAATTAAAAACCTATTTTGGGGACTTTGGGCTGTGCAGAGACCGCGCGGCCGATGGTCGCCACGTAGGGAGAGGAGCCTCCTCGTCAGGCACAAACAAGCATCTTCTGGGCTACACCTACTAATTAGCAGAGGGAGTTCCCACCACGCCTATCCTGGGTCCTTCCAGACAAGCGGCTTTTGACTTTTTTTTTTTTTTTGGCAAACTCTCCTCCGAGCCAACGCCAAAAGTGAGTTACGCAGGAAACCAGCAAGTCCTTAAAAGCCACGGTGGAGGTTTTGACAGGTCGTGGAGGAACAACCCCTTCGCTCAGGAAAGTCACCTGGAGGGGGGTGGAACCCCACCAGCCCGACTGGGACGTGCCCGCGAGCAGGCTGGGTCACATTCTTCCCCGACTTCTGGGGGGCCCCGACGCTCAATTTTCATCAAGCCCCTGTTACAACATCACCCGGAGCTCTCCAGAACCTGGAGATGGGTGTAGCTGCAATTAACTTCCACTTAAAAGCACCTTCACGCCGCCAGCACCGTGCGACGGGCTGGAGCACGACAGAATCAGGCCCCCACAGCCCTTCTGGGTGTGACAGTGAGTTCTCCTTATTTAGAGGAGTTTCCTCATGATTTTAATCCTGGGCAAAACTCTTGGACTCGACAACGTCTTGTGGCAACAAATTCCACCAGAGATGCAGGAGCTGCTCAGGGAGAGCCAGGCATGGGCACATTTCATAGAAGTATAGAATGGTTTGGGGTGGAAGAGACCTTTAAAGATCATCCCTGCCCTGGGCAGGGCCACCTCCCACCAGCCCAGGTTGCTCCAAGCCCCCTCCAACCTGCCCTTGAACCCCTCCAGGGATGGGCCAACCTGGGCTCTCACCACCCTCACACCAAAGAAGTTCCTCCCCACATCTCAGCTCAATCATAGAGTCATAGAACCATCTAGGGGGTTGGAAGGGACCTTCAAGATCATCTCGGCCAACCAACCTAACTCTGACAAAAGAACCATCACTAAACCATGTCCCTCCATCTCCCCTCTTTCAGCTTCAAATCCTTCCCCCTCGTCCCATTGCTCCCCTCCCTCATCAAGAGTCCCCCCCAGCTTTCCTGGAGCCCCTTGAGGGACTGGAAGGGGCTCCAAGGTCTCCGTGGAGCCTTCTCTTCTCCAGGCTGAACCCCCCAACTCTCTCAGCCCCCCCTCCCAGCAGAGGGGCTCCAGCCCTCCCAGCATCTCCGGGGCCTCCTCTGGCCCCACTCCAACAGATCCATGTCCTTCTGCTGTTGGTGGCCCCAGAGCTGGAGGCAGCACTGGGTGTGGGGGGGTGTCTCCCCAGAGCGGAGCAGAGGGGCAGAATCCCCCCCCTCACCCTGGGGGTGCAGCCCAGGGGGTCAGGGGGGCTTGCTGGGCTTCCAGACCACTTTGCCAGCCCATGGCCACCTTTCCCCCCACCCCCAGCCCCTCCAAACCCTTCTCCTTGGGGCTGCTCCCCATCCCTCCATCCCCAGCCTGGGCTGGGACCAGGGGCTGCCCCCCCGCCAGGGGCAGGACCCTGCCCTTGGCCTGGTTGAACCACATGAGGGTCATAGGGTCCCACCTCTCCAGCCTGTCCATGTCCCTCTGGATGCCACCCCATCCCTCAGGAGTGGGCTTCCAGCCCACGTTGCCGGCTCCTGTTGAGCTTCTCACCCAACCAACACCCGCAAGTCCTTCTTCTCCTTGGGGCTGCTCCCCATCCCTCCATCCCCAACCTGGATTTGGGCTGGGGGTTGCCCCGCCACCCCCAGGACCCTACCCTTGGCCTGGTTGAGGTCCTTCTCGTTCTAAAACCCCGCCAGAGGAGCTGTGGCCGGGGCCGGGCCCTCTTACCTGTGTTGTAGGCCGTGGGCATGGCGGAGAAGGGCAGGCCCTGCGTCAGCAGACTGGGAGTAGCCACAGAAACAACCGGGGTGGTCAACGAGTGAGTTGCTTGGGAGACCCCTAACCGCTGCGTGTTCTGCTGGGGAAGCAAAAAGAGGGGGAGTTACAACCCAGATGCCTTTAACTCTTGTCCTCCTCCTGGGCTTTGCTCCCCCTCAACCCAAAAAACCTCAGCCATGCACCAGCCTTTGAAGCGGCCGAGATCACAGAGCCCCTGGGACTAAGCAGGATGGATCCTCGGGCCGTTCCTCAAGTGCAACAAAGCAAAGTGCAAGGCACAGCAGTTCCAGACATGAAGGACCCTCATGACATTCATCTGGAGGTCACTCGGCCTTGGCCTTGGGTCACCAAGGTGTGGGCTTCACCCGCCAAGGACCAGCACCATCCCCTGGGGATAACTGGGGTGTCCCACTCTTGTACAATTCTGATTGTAAATAAAAATAATCAGATGTCAAAAAAAGAAGAGTCCTTATTATCCAGAGGATGCCCGTGAGGTTTGAAGTGCTGCTCGTGGAGGGAGAAAGTCACCAAACCAAGCCAGGAGCAGCCAAGTGACACGTCCCCCTCCCCGCAGCACCGAGAAGGAGCCCCCCCAGCTCCAAGGAAGATGCTGAGCATCACCCTTGGGATTTCCAAGGTCCTCTGGCATCTTTAAACCCAAAATCCAGTGCTCAGCAACCTGCCGGCTCGGTGCCCTCCCGAGGTTTGGGTGACTCAGGTCCACTGTGGAAAAATCCTGCCCTTGGCCTGGCACACGCCGGCCTCCCCCCGTGGTTTTCCGGGTGGTTACGTGGGTGGACGGACGGGTCAGCTCCAGCCCTGTTTACAAGGCAGATAATCCGGGCTGTCTCTGCTGAGCTGATTTAAATCAGACTCAAGAGGCTTGACTCTTAATCCGGAGCGCCCCGGCACACGTCACCCTGTGAAGACTGGGGCAGTGCCCAGCTTAAATCACGCCTAGCACGAGGCTGGCGGCATCCCCGGGGACACGGACCGAGCCTTCCCGGGGCTCCCGGGGTTTTTTGGGGCCGGGCACAGGGCCCCGCGATGGGTCACGGCCAGACGGGACCCTCCTGGAGGTTAAACCCCCCCCTCTGCCCTCGCCACCTCCGGAGGGTGACAGCATCCCCCGGGGAATGGATTTGCAGCACCCTGTGCCCACATGTGCCACCCGCTGCCCGCGGGTCCCTCCCCGTCACCCAGGGAAGGCGATTAACCAGGGCTTTTAATTGCTAAAGCCCCCGGAGCCGTTAGGAGCAGGTTTTCCTGGCAGGCATCCTGCTGGCAAAGCGCCCCTCGGGCTGTGCCCACCGATAAGGGCAGGGCAGAGAAATGCCTGGGGGGTGGGCAGCACTGAGCCCCCTCTCTCTCCTCTGCACCCTGAGCCAGCCCAGCAGGATGGGACCCGTAGCACGAGCCCCTCTGGTAGCCCTGCGCGGGGGCTGTGTGGTTTTCCTGGGATGAATCTGTTTGGAGGGGGTGGGATGCTGGTGGAACTGGGGTGCTATCAGCCCAGGGAACAGGGCAAGAGCCCCCCCCATTAGCCCTGCACCGGGGCTGTGTGGGTTTTCCAGGATGAATCCCACTGGAGGATGGGATGCTGGTGGAACTGGGGTGTATCGTCCCCAGGAACAGGGCAAGAGCCCCCCCATTAGCCCTGCATTTGTGTGAATCCAGCTGGGGGGTGGGATGCTGGTGGAACTGGGGTGCATTGGTGCCGGGAAGAGGGCAAGAGCCCCCCCCATCAGCCCTGCACCAGGGCTGTGTAGGTTTTCCTGGGATGAATCCAACTGGGGGGTGGGATGCTGGTGGAACTGGGATGGCATCAACTCCGGGAACAGGGCAAAAGCCCCCCCATTAGCCCTACACCGGGGCTGTGTGGGTTTTTCTGGGATGAATCCAGCTGGGGGGGGTGGGATGCTGGTGGAACTGGGATGGTATCAACCCCGGGAACAGGGCGAGAGCCCCCCCATTAGCCCTACACCGGGGCTGTGTGGGTTTTCCTGGGATGAATTTGGCTGCGGGGTGGGATGCTGGTGGAACTGGGATGTATTGTCCCCAGGAACAGGGCAAGAGCCCCCCCCGTTAGCCCTACACTGGGCCTGTGTGGGTTTTCCTGGGATGAATCCAGCTGGGGGGGGTGGGATGCTGGTGGAACTGGGATGGTATCACCCCCGGGACCAGGGCGAGAGCCCCCCCATTAGCCCTACACCGGGGCTGTGTGGGGTGTCCTGGGATGAATTTGGCTGCGGGGTGGGATGCTGGTGGAACTGGGATGGTATCACCCCCGGGACCAGGGCGAGAGCCCCCCCATTAGCCCTACACCGGGGCTGTGTGGGGTGTCCTGGGATGAATTTGGCTGCGGGGTGGGATGCTGGTGGAACTGGGATGTATTGTCCCCAGGAACAGGGCAAGAGCCCCCCCCGTTAGCCCTACACTGGGCCTGTGTGGGTTTTCCTGGGATGAATCCAGCTGGGGGGTGGGATGCTGGTGGAACTGGGATGCATTGGTGCCAGGAACAGGGCAAGAGCCCCCCCCGTTAGCCCTGCACTGAGGCTGGGTGGGTTTTCCTGGGATGAACCCGGCGGGGGGGTGGGATGTCGGGGTGTATCAGCCCTGGGAACACCCCGGTTACACCCCACGGGGAGTGTGGGGACGTCACCCCTGGCTGCACCCCGATTTTGGGTGGTTTTGGAGAGGGTGGGAGCTGCTGTTTCTCACCGAGGAGCCGGGGTGGGGGTTGAGCAACACAGATGTGGGGAGAAGGTTTGGGGAGCAGGGATGAAGGGGGGGGGAACCCCACCTCGTCCCCCTCCCCGCGTCCTTTTCCAGCCGTTTTCCATCCCTGTCCCCCCTCCTCATGCTCCATCCTGTCACCTTCCACCTCAGCTCGGGGGGGGGCACCTCCCTGGAACCACTAAAAGAGCATTGGGGAGGCTGGAGCTGGGGCTGGGGGGGCAGGCGGGGGCAGTGGGGCAGTGGAGCAGGGCTGAGCTGATTCACACCCCCACCTGGGTGGTTTTGGATGGGTTTGGGTGATTTTGGGTGGTTTTGGAGAAGGTGGGAGCTGCTGTTTCTCACCGAGGAGCCAGGGTGGGGGTTGAGCAACACGGATGTGGGGAGAAGGTTTGGGGAGCAGGGATGTGGGGGGGGGAAACCCACTCCTCGTCCCCCTCCCGTGTCCCTTTCCAGCCGTTTTCCATCCCTGTCCCCCCTCCTCATCCTCCATCCTGTCACCTTCCACCTCGGCTCAGGGCGGGGGGGCCGTTCTTCACTCCAGGCAAAAATCAGCCGGGTTGGAATTAACGAGTTTAATTGTGGGGCTGAGCTAAACCCGGCTGCTTTTTTTTTTTATTATTTCATTTTTTTGCCTCAAGCAAGCTGCTCCTCAGGGATGAATCCAGCTGGGGGGTGGGATGCTGGTGGAACTGGGATGCATTGAGCAAGCTGCTCCTCGGGCTCGGGGAGGCAGGGAATGCCCTGCGGCAGCGGGAAGGCCGAGGAGCAGATGGGGATGGTGCAGCGGGGGGTGGGGGCTCCTTCCACCCCGCAGCCGGGGGAAACTGAGGCACGGAGCTGATGGGAGAGGGGGGACACACCTCAGAATTCCAAAATCAACCCCCAAATGATCTTTTCCCTGGCCAAAAGTGTCTCCTTGGTGGGATGCCAGAGGTGTTGGCTTAATCCTGGGGGTTTTGGGAACAGGGCAAGAGCCCCCCCCGTTAGCCCTGCACTGAGGCTGGGTGGGTTTTCCTGGGATGAACCCGGCGGGGGGGTGGGATGTCGGGGTGTATCAGCCCTGGGAACACCCCGGTTACACCCCACGGGGAGTGTGGGGACGTCACCCCTGGCTGCACCCCAATTTTCACCCCGATTCATGCAGGCAGGAGGTGCTGAGGTGCACAAGCCGCCCCCCCCCAGCCCCCTAGACCCATGCACCCCACAAAATACACACACCCCCCCCCCAGGTTTGCAAACCACCATCCATGCTGGCTCCCACACAGACCCATGCAGACATGCTCCCGTGAGCGCACTTGTCACCAGCTTGTCACCAGGGGCTCGGGGACCGGCTCTGCCCTTCGAATTGGGGGGGTTTGGAGGAAAAATGGGGGGGGG